ACTCAGTTGTTGACTGATTCATCTTAAAGATTAATACATTATTGATAGGTACACTACATTAAATTTGAGCTGTGGTCTGTGTATGGCCAAACTAATTGTGTATTTCTGTTAATTAATTATTAATAAAGAACCATACCTCTCACATTGTTCTTTAGGTTTAATTATGTCCAAATGCACCAACACCGGGTAATTAAGCTTTAAGTAACTCGTATGAAAGTCTGATGCGCATCCGCGTACAATAAAATGAATTTATTAATTGAATGGATTTATAAAAAAAAGGCCGTGCTAATTATTAAAATTAAAAACAATTCTTTGAATTTTTCGAATGCATATTTTAATGTTACTTAGACCCTCGTTATTGCGTGGGATTACAATTTTCAAGTTGGATACTTTAACCCCCGTTTCCGAATCGAGGTCTAACCGCCTTTTTTCATAGTCATTGGTCTCAAATAAAAGTATTTTACAAGTGGAGGTGCTAACAGGCGCGCTTGCTGTCATGCTTTCCTTTACATTTCCAATAAATTGTGAACGGTGCCTAATGGGAAAGTAAAAATAAAACGTTTACAACGCCTTAGCATGAGGCGCCACGGAAGGCGCTATATAAATCAAATGTAACTATGATTGAATAATTGTTGTCGTTTTGTTGTTGCAGGTATCGCCTGGAGACGGAGATGAAGGCATGACTTTGAAGTTCCACATTATTCTTCTTAGGAAATCCGCTGTTATTTACGCCCTTTTCTTGATGTCTTTTCCAACTCAATTACACCTTACGAAACACAACTAAATCGTTAATAAACTCGCTAAACATACGAATCAGTACCTGTGGATGCTGTAATATCGACTAACGTTCTTAAGAAACTCTTTCGACTAAGTCCGATTTCTCAATTACGGGCCTACATGCTTAATTTAAAATGTCGGTTATAGATCGGGCCCAATGCTACCGAATGTTTAAACTCGCATTTTAGACAAGATGTCTTTTAGTAAGGCTATTTTAGACATTTGGGGCACTTCGTAATTATTTCAGACTGAAAACTACACGTTATGTAAAACGTGATGAAATGGTAAATGATTTTTAAGAAACAGAATTCTAATACACTTCTGTATTTTATTTTTTTCTAGGAAACATTCGGCTTTCTCAGAATGTCACCTTTGATGTCAAGAGAAAGGACAGTAAAACTATCCCAATTTCAAAACGGAAGTGAATGAGACACAGCTCCGTTCAATGAAGTGATGAATCTTGATGAATGCGGAATGAGGAATCTTCTCCAGACAGACTGACAGTGGACCCGGACGTTTCCTTTAAAATGTACCTATTTAGAACTCTATTTTGTCAGAATGGGGGAAAAATAAGTGCTGTCTTGATTGGCCTGCGAGTTTAGCTCGGGATTACTGAATTTCCCCCGCTGTCCTGAGAGCGTTTTGTTAAAGGTGTTTCACGCGTTTTAAGGCGAATTCACAATAAACATGTCGCAACGGTTAAAAGTCGAAGGTTTTGTGTGTGTACGTGTGTTTTGTTTCTATAACAGCAGAAAACGCCACGACCCGACTGACTGATGCAAACAAACGCCACATTCCACCTTTGTGATGTCACAGATACCGGGAGAAACGCGCCCCCCTCTCCCCCTCCTCCCTCGCACACCTTCTCAAGCGAACGCCGCAACACCACCACCAGCTGTCCCCACCTCACTTACCGTTATCAGCACCTCCAATACAGGTGCTAAGAGCTCCGTTTTATGTGCGGACACACCGCTCGCCAGCTCTACAAGTTCACACAAACTATCTGCGGCCATTCGCACCCTCTCTCTCCCCAGAGGCCCCGGCCAGGCGCAGTTCGCGACGCCAGCGAGGACACAGCCAAGACACAAGACACGACCTGCCGTTTCTGTTATTCGGTCCCTGTCTCTGCTGGTGGCCGCAGAGCAGGCGGTTGCACGGCTCGGAGGAGGCTGGAGGGCTCTGGTCGCTCTTTAATTGCACCGGCGGGGCCTTGGGAAACTTTACTCTCCCTTTTGTTCCCGTTTCACATAGAAAACCGCACAGACTAAAAGCCATCGCGATATAATATAAAGCCGGGGCCAGAGACAAAACATTATATATATATATTTCTACAGCTCGAACTGTGAAGGGGGGGACGGGACAACATAGCTTTAAGACCACACGAAAATGGAAAGCCCTCGCTGGAAAACCATTAGCGCCACAACACCGACGTGCTTGTCAACGAAATATTGCATTACAGTATTAATTAAAGCCCCCACGGGTCACCAGGGGCAGGTATCTATTTCATTAAGCCGAGAAACAAGACATTTACTTACAGAAACCGTCTGGGATCCATTTGTGAAGTGGAGCAGGAGGGCTACAGTAAAGAGTCTGGCGCGAGGTAATCCACACTAAACGCCTGGTCCCGCGGTCCCCGAGATAAGAGAAGCGAGCAGCTGTGATTCCGGACAGTTAACATTATATATGATGTAAATATATTGAGGGTTTGTCAGCTCTCGCAAACCATAAAACTTACTTTAATGACACCACGTGCTCGCCGCGGGCCATTCAGGGCCCGTGCTCCAGGCAATCGGCATAAATAACCTTCAAAAGTTTAAAAGTACAAAACAAAACAAACCGATTTTCGTCCACAAAAGCAATGTACCCTATAGTGTTGAACTCTAAAGTTCAGTGACAACTGGACGCGGCTGAGTTAGGACAAGGCTCGGTTTTTTCCCCACAACTCCGCAGGACGTCCCGGTCTCGTTCACAAATGTTTTAAGTACAACTGAGAGTCAGAGGGGTGAGTAATGTGGCTTTTTTTTCCCCCAACTTGGAAAAAAAAAACTTTGAGCAAAGAAAGAGAAGCGTAACAACTTCTGAGACCTCGCCAGACCTGTTAGCAATGCGAAACACGCTACTGTCTACTGTCTTGAGCGCAACGACTTTAAAAAAATGCTTTTATCATCGCAGACAGGAAGACTTTTAACAGGCCTGAACGTTATGAAATGCAAGGCAGGGGCGAAAGAGAAAAGGTTAATTAATCACCTTCCTACCTGCTGTTTGGGATTATATTAATTGGAAGGAGGTACATTTGGTGCGGTAGGAAGTTTCAGCCCACGGGAGCCCTTCAAAGTTTTTTTTTCATGCTTCGCTTTAGTTAAAAAAATGTTTTTTTCACTCTGGTAATGAGCTCGTTACTGAAAAAGCGGGGAAGGCGTGACATTTACTTCAGGCGAAAGCAGACAGAACACAGGACCTCACTGAGCCCCGCAGCCCCCTGCGCCCTGTACTGTCAGTGAGAAATACGCGGATCATCAATACCACGCTTTAAATCTGCGTACTGTTCAGCGCACACACATCTAAAGCATATTTTTGTTTAAATACACCGGTGTTCGGGTTTTTTCGAAGTTTTTCTAGCAGACCCGGACTCTTAAATCTTTCGACGAACGCTTTTAGTTTTTTTTGTCAGTGCTCACTTTATTCATCAGCTGTAATACCTCATAATCATTTTACTCCTCTTCATTTGACCAAAACGAGGTTGATCTGTTCGTTTCGCAGCTTCATAGTAGTGGTGGGTCTTTAAAAGTGTATGTCTGTGTTCTTCGTGCTACACCGATTGGTTTGGGTGATCTGTTAAGAGCCGTGTCTTAATGTGCTAAAGTGGCACAGTTTTTGTTTTTGGCTTTTTCGAAAGGAGGATGGTTTTAGTCTTTTTTTTTTGTTTTGTTTTAGGAACATACCCATGTCGTAGTATTTGCGAACTAAATACTACAAGTTATCGCATACTCTTTGTCAACACTAAGTGAAAATCAAATTATTTTTTCTGGGTTTTTTTTTCTTCCTGTCAGGCAGCTTGTAGCTCCTGTAGTACTTCCTTCCAGAGCCTCAGTTTAAGCCCAGCGCCCCTGTCGCTTCGCAATAAAACCTCATATAGCCCCCTCTCGCCTATCGCGCCCGAGAAGAGCGAGTTTCATTTTTGAAACTCACTTCAAAGGCAGGAGCTGTTAATTTGTCACTTTTGAAACTGTGGCAACTTCCCTCCTCACTGTTCCCTTTGCCCCGACAGGAAATCGCTCTCGTTGTTTGAGAGGTGCGAGGAAACGCTATAAAAAAATTTATTGCGGGCCGTAAAAGGTTTATTGGCATCTGCCTGCGCTGTAAAAAAAAAAGAAAGAAACGCCAGAGGAAATGCAAGGCGGCGACGCGGAAGACCGGTTTCTACAGAGGCCCGTCTTCAAAGCAGAAGGGACTGAGAACCCTCTGAGGGCGAGGAAAGTCGAGGCCGGTGCGGGCCTGGGCGACAGGAGCCGCGGCGGAGTTTAAGGACTTGAAAGTGAAGCGGGAAGGATATTTGAAGGCTGTGTTTTTGTAAGCGCACCCCCGGGGCTGTTCCCCGCGCAGATCTCCCTCTCGTTATCTTTAAAAAGCTGTCCCCCTCCGTCCCCGTCTATAATACGTAAACGCGGAGAAGGACTGCTCTGCTAGTTCGCAGACGTCCACGCACACCGCGGGCGCACACGCTCGGATGTCGGCGGACCGCGCAGGCCTGGCGAAAATATGCGGCCCGCTCAGAGGATAAATCCCTTGAGTCTGCGCTTTGAAACAGTGTCGGGCCGAGCTAAACACAACTTCAGCAAAGGGACACGTAAAGGTTTGTTTTTAATGCTGAAGAGTAAAAAAGACCCAACGTTTCGGCTGTGGAGCCCTTTTCAGGTCTTCACACACCTGAAGGAGGCAATACAGCCGAAACGTTGTGTCTCTTTTCTTTTCCGCACGGAGTAAACCTTTACGTGTCCCTTTACAGCCTACGGATTCTGGTGCAGCTGCCTACTTCACCTTCAGTAAAGTTGGCTAGTTTGCTGTGTTTGCGAGTATTGACACCTGCGTCATCTATCCCCATCACATACAAAATTACATCATAAGTCTGAGTTTCTTTCTTTTTTTTGTTGCAAGGTTAGCATGAAAAAGCAATCATTTAAAAGCGTAGAGAGAAGAACAAAAATGCACTCGGTGGAACTCAGTTTGGATACTTTACACTTTATTATGGAACACACAATTATACAAATTGGAACCAGTTCAGTTATTTTCCTTAGCATGCTGCTTGGATGCACGTGGTAATGCGGACACACTATTAACACGAACAGGAATAACATCTCAACACCGTCACCTCCTACAGCAGACCTCGAGAGAGAAACTGCACGATTTCAAACGTGGTAACCCTTTTCATAAAACGCTAGAAAAGGAGACTTTGGAGAGTATTTCCTCCAAGAAAGCTCTTCCTCTTTTCTCTAAAAAAGGGAGATAAAATTAACTTTAGGCTCAGAACTCGCAGAATAGGTGCATATTATACGCCTGCCAGTTCACGTGAAATGAGATACAGCTCACGTTCAAATCACGTGAGAAAATATGTCGACATTTAAAAACATCTAAAAATCTCGATAAAAGCTAGCGTCCTATGAGAGCTGTCTCGTGCTTTCAAAAAGGACGAAGATCCTGCAGGTTTCAATTAATTAATAAATGTATCTACTGTATTTGTTTTTTTGTTTTCCCCTGACACAGCGCTTGAAGGTTTGTGCTGATGGTACACAGAGTTTCTGGAGACACAAAGCCGGAAGGCTGAGGTTAATACTTTTAATTACAATCCATTAAGGCTATCGAGAAACCCGTGTTAACTTTTTAATTTATGCTTCCCTGGAAATTAAAAGTCAGCTGTGTACCAACACTGTGACCAAGCAGTACGTCAGACTGTAGTTTCGACCATCAACGTGATATTATTATTATATTCATTTGCAGCTGTTAGTCGTTACGATGGCTAAATATTACCTAAATATTAGGCCCCTTTACAGCTTTATCAGTTTTATTTATATTGTTTGCTTGCACAACACTTTCTAAACTACCCCAATCTTTTTTTGTACGACTTTCTAAGCCACAGCAGATGTCTGTACTGTCACAAGGGGTGACCAAGATCTTCAAATCGCTTTCTCCGCGCTTGACTTCTCTATGCGAGATATGTATTACAGAGCTAACTAGTGGAGAGACGCGTCTCTCTGGACAAGCACAGCCTCGGCCGGAACTAAAGGAAGTTGTTTCTCTTCCGTTTCTGGAAAAGTGGTGTGTGTCCAAATCTAAACTAATACCTGCAGAAGAAAAAAAAGTATATATCCCTTATTCTTCTTTGCTAAATACGTTAGACTATTTAGGTTTCAGTTTCTACATTACAAATGTTGGGCTATTTGAATTCATCCCAAGTCTTGTGTCTAAGTGACTACAGGCGAGACATGTCAAATTTTCAGTCGTTTCTGGGCACTTGTAGGTCGTGTCTACAAAACGTACACGTAACTGCAGGCGCACGCTTTGCCACCATTTATCTTAAAGGTAACTAATTTGCTTGAGCATTTGCTGCCCGCGAGAACAAGCCTGGCAGCTTTAGAAACACATTATCTCTCGTACATTTAATAAATTGGTGATTTACAGGGTTTCAGATACCGACTGTCAGCTCGTGTTATGTCTGCGGTGGCCACTGGACGGTATGTTTTTGAAACGTGTGGGATCTTTTAAAAATCTGTATTTTAAAAAAGGCCAAGAAAAAAAAAATCCGGCGGACACTTTTTAAAACTCCGGGGGATCAAAATAAAATGAGAATTCACATTCTATACCCAACTAAACAAGAACAAAAAAGTGCTTATAATATACCGTGCCGGATCCCCAGACATCGGCGCGATTAAACTGCAAAATGTGTCCTTTTCGTCTTTAGAAGAACAACATGCCAACGTGTCAGCGGGTCACTTAAGGTCTGAAAGTACCCCTCTACGCCTATCCCTTGCGAATTCTTTTTACAATAAATTAAACGCTTTGCTGATTTGTTCACATTTTAAATGACGTTAAGAAAAGAACACCAACAAGAGGATTTAAAAAAACAAAAGGCATATATTACATATAAACATAAAAAACCAACTGAAAATAATTTACTGCTTTAAAAATAAGACGATTGGGTTTCAAATGCTTTGTGTCTTCACTGTTCCAGCGTTCACAACGCTTCGCTTTCTTGTTTTCCTTCTTTTTTTTTTAAAACCGAATTCGGATTGAAGCCAGATTGTAATCCCAGCCGTTTATATGGACTCCTTCAGTTTGATCTTCGAATCCTTCTTCCACTTCATCCGGCGGTTCTGGAACCAGATTTTGATCTGCCTCTCGTTCAGGCACAAGCTGTTGGCAATTTCAATGCGCCGGCGGCGGGTCAGGTACCGGTTGAAGTGAAATTCTTTCTCCAGCTCCAGCGTTTGGTAGCGGGTGTAGCTCGTCCGAGATCGCTTGCCGTCCGACTCTGGAGTGAATGAAAACAGCACTTAAAATCATACCCTTGGAGGGTCAGGCCCAGCTCAGCCCAACAGCAATTGGCACGTTTCTAACTGCATGTCTTTGCGCTTGTGAGGGGGAACTGTTGAAGGTTCGAGGGATGAAGTTGTCAGCGAGCAGACGGGGACGCGGAAGGAGAGATCGATCGATAGACAAAGCGAGCGGGCAGCGCGAGTTTGGCTGTGTTTAGGGTACTGGTTTGAAAACACGAGATTTTTAACGGCGAGACAGGCTTCCCATTATCCCAGACACTTGCGCTTCCAAACGGGGGAGGGGGTGGGGGTGACAGAATTGAAGATAGCCCGTACAGGACGACTACCTGAAAAATCAGCCAAGCAAGACCCCCTAATCTCGAGCCTACTGAAGTGAGGGGCTATGGGACGGTTTCGTTCTGCGCGCGTGGATTACTACACACCAGACAGGTTCACCTGAAGGCCACCAGGTCCGTTTTCTCGTGCACGGGGACCTATGCAGACGTCAAAGCCAGTCCCACAGCGAGTTATGGCTTGTGCACAGTGCCGAGCCATTCCCAAATTTATACTTCTGCACCTCTGTTTTAGAAACCCCGAACATGAGTGTGTGTGTGTGTGTCTATATATATATAGTATCAAAGACGTTGTTTGGTGGTTTTGGTAAGCTGTTTTGTTTCTCTGATCCAATTATGCGATCATAAATTCGGGCGCAGATCGCCTCTTCGCCGTAACAGGACAGTTTTACGAGCAATTGATGCCTTTGTCATAAAATTTACGACCGCGAGTTTTATTATTTCCCCCGTACGGCCTATAAAAAAAGAAGAAGAGGGAGAGAAGGGGAAAAAACTGTGAATGGACTGTGGAGTGAGAGCGAGGGGGGAGAGAAAGAGAGACAGAAGGAGAGAGTGGGAATGCTAACCCCCCACCCCCCCCACGCACACACACCCCAGGAAAAAGAAAAGAAAAGAAAAACAAAAGTTTACCGTGGCTTATGTGGAGTTTGGTCATCCAGGGGTAAATCTGAGGCGGCTGCTGGTTAAGCTGAGGCTGAGCCGGGTGGTGCTGTGGTCTCCCCGCCTGGACAGCTTGCATCGCCTCCACTTTGATCTCGCCTGCTCTTCCGCTGCTGCCGGGCTCGTCCTGCAGCTCCGGGTCCCCCTCGGCTTTCTGACAGAACATGCCCGTGGCGAGCGAGCCCTGCCCGCCCGCGCCGGAGCAGGGAGGCGGCGGAGGCGGAGGCGGAGGAGGAGGAGGCGGCGGCGGCTGCGGCGGCGGCGGGGCGGCTGCGTCCGGGCTGCCACGCAGGCTGCCGCTCATCTCCCCACGGCTGAGGGGGTTCGCGGAGGCCGGTGAAGGGAAAGACACGCTGAGGTCCAGCCCGCCGTAACAATACCTGGACGGGTGAATTTCGGAGACGGCTCCATAATTGCCATAGCTGTGCATGGCGTAAGACGGAGCCTCGTGAGCTTGTTTGTAGAAGGAATTGGCTACGTAGGAGCTCATTTTGTGGAAAAACCAAAAAGGCACCAAACTGGAAGCAAAACCATTAAACCAGGACACAGCCGAACCAGCCTAATTAGCGATAATAACTCTCCTAACAATGCACCGCTCCGCTATTAAAAATCTGATTATTTTTCATTAGCCGCTACTGTTGTTATTATTATTTATTACGTTTGATTTGTGGCCCTTTGGAAGTTCAAGGGGCTTTTGTCCCAAAAAAGAGCAGGATTTATAGTTGGGGGGGGAAAAATCGTCGCTTTTTTTTCTTGATTCTACGTGCGCTGCCCAAATATGGGATGTTTAAATAGAATCACGTGCTCGTGTTGGCCAGTCATAAATTTGGCTTGATCACCCCAGGAGGTTACTGATGGAACTCCGAGAAACGTGTCTGATAACTTGGCAGCGAGGATCCGCTCCAAAGTCCCGGTCGGAGAGGCGAGGACAGCGGGCCGAGAGCGTCACCTGGCGCTCGTCGGGGAGCAGAGCGCGCCGCTAAGAGCCCAGTGCCTTCCGTAGCGGGTACCTGGAGTCGGCAACGCCACACACAGCACGCTTGTACCTACGACAGACCGACGCTGACGCGCCGCAGTGCCACCCTCGAGCGATTGAAACCGTACGGCACACACTGCCGCGACTCGACGCAGATCAAAACAGAACAAGCAAACGGGGGATCATGCCCCTTTCCCCATTGTCTCTTAAAACACCGTTTTTGCGTTTTCATAGAGACTGATAAGACAAGCGCTCACGAAATAAATATGTCAACATACACTTGTGCGTTCATGATTGTTGTTTTGAACTGCAAAACAATAGTTGTAGTACATATAATATCGTTTACATGACTACATCTCGGGGGGGAAAACGAAGAGGATGCCAGGCCCACTTAGAAAGTCTTAACTTACAAAACTCCTGTTACTGTTGTTCCTGACAGTGATCAGATGAAAAGCACTCATACAGGAAGAGGACTGTCGCGAGTTTAACATTTCCTGACAACACCAAACTGCTCCACATCGCCTAAACTGGTCGTTCATACAGTACATGTAAATTCAGATATACGAAGTGAATATTTTTTAAGCGATCGCGTAAGTGTTATCTACGTTTACATGCTGTGTATTCGAAGTGTATTTACGAGTGTCCTGGTCCGTTTCTGTTCAAGATCGCTTGTTTACTTTATCCAGTTTTTTTTTTCTAGGCTTTGATGAGGAAAGGATTTCCCACACAGCGCCTTATTTGATCGGCCAATGAGCTGTACACTTTAAATAAAAAAAAAACTACTACGACGCGTGGTGCAATTTATTTATAATGGTTATTTTAAAAATTGATAATTGTAGTTTAAATGAAAGACGCCCTGCGTTACTTTTCGAATGCGACATTCATTCGCTGTATAATATACAATACATCGATGTCATATTTGCTTTTCTAATGTTTTAAATGAAACGTCAATGGCGTCTTTGTGTGAGAATGTTTATGCTGTACTCGTGAGTCTTGTGGAGCAAACTGCAAGTATTGGTATCGTTGCTGGTGTTGTGATATTCAGGTTCGGCTGATAGCATGATCTTCATTTGCTCAGTGACAAGAAAACGTTTTGAGAAACTTCATACGTAGTTCAACACCAACTGTAATAAAACATTCCCAGCGAAAAAACGGTGTAAAATAAGGGCAGGAAATTAACCGAAACACGAATTTAGTCAAAACTGAGACGAATCGATCATAAACAATATTACTGTTGTTGAAAATACGCAGTTTTAAATTATCATGAATTGATATACAGCACAAACTACCCAGCACACATCAAATAATTGAACGTACCTACACACAATAATAATTCTGTTATTTTTTTAGCAGTGTTTTACAAAGTCCTTAGTACGTACAGTTGTCAGTATATATTATTTTGATTTAAGAAAATATACTGTTGGACAGGAGAGTACCTTTTTAACCGTGAGCACAATATTGGAACATGTTACGACCACTGACATTTATATGATTAACTATATTTAGTCTGCAACAAAGGTGTTTGATCTACTGGTCTGAAGTTTTTAATTCTTTTTCCTAGACGCGATGGGCATGTTTGTATATGTCAGGATATTTGAGATAAAGGAACAGGAAGTGAGGACGTTTATTTTTTGCCATTCTTAATTTAAAAAAAAACCGTATTGCGAGAAAGAAAATCAAAGTGGAACACCTTTTAACCTTTAAAAATAATTTTATTAAATACTGAACAGAGGCGATTGAGCGCGACGTCGTACTGGTGTCGTACAGTACAAGAGGGATAGAGATACCTGTTGTTTTTTTGTCTTCTAACACTACTTTTTTAGCCACTTAACATTATTTTATTATCAGTTCTTACTCAATACAACGCTAAATATAAATAAAACATCTACCACAATTAAAGCCTGCAGCATACACACGGAAGCTCTGACAGTATGAATTCTAGGCATATATACAGAAATATTAACAATTCTGGTAGTACAAAACAGCCGGTGGCAACATTTCCTCCCACCTTGTAGGCTAATGTTTCACAGGACTGAAGCTATTTTTCAGAACGTAAAATAATATGAAATGAAACAACACGCAGGAGCCGCTGTCTGTCGCTTTGAGTCCCTTATAAAACTCGGGATGCCTTCTCCGCGTGACGCGGATCCCGAAATCCCAGCAGCACACAAACAACTGCTAAATACAGGGTGATGTTTATTTACATACATATCGTAACACAGCGGTTGTAACTGCACTTAAAATTATATATATATATCAATCAATGAAGGCGACATAAAAACTATTTACTTCATCACAGCACATGAGTTCGCGTACAGAAGAGAAAGGCTGTTTTCTGCGATGGAATTCTGCCCACACTGTGGATCGGTGGAGAGAGAGGGGGGGTGGAGAGGGGGGGGTTTTAACAACGAGTACAAAGCGAGGGAAAAAGTGACTCTTTTCTGAGGGGAGAATGAGTCTTATGCCCTAAGCCAGATGTTATCTGGTAGAAGTTACTGTGGCTGAATTAGCATGTAATTGCAGCGATCTATTAATTCGTGTGTGAAAGAGAGAGTGTGCGTGTGTTTATACATATACATAGACATATATAGTTGTGCCAACAACATAGGTAGTTTCGTTAACGCAAAAGTGGGCGCTTGGTTTGTGTTTTCGTTATGTGTCTAACGGAGGCTCTGCCCGCAAGCCAGAGGTGCTTTTCCCTTTCATTCTTTCTTCTTCTCGTCCTCCGTCTCCTCTTCGATCCCTTCTTTTTCTTCCTCCTGGGAGCCCCCGGCGGCGCCCCCGCCCGTGACCGCGGGTGTGAGGTTGCTCTCCTTCTTCCACTTCATCCTGCGGTTCTGGAACCAGATTTTGATCTGCCGTTCCGTGAGGCACAGCGCGTTGGCGATCTCGATGCGCCGGCGGCGGGTCAGGTACCGATTGAAGTGGAATTCCTTCTCGAGTTCTAGAGTTTGGTACCGGGAGTAAATCTGCCGCCCTCTCCGTCTGTCAGATCCGTATCCCACTCCTGTGCAGAAATGCATTGCAAAGACGAGGTTACAATTTCGATTTACACGCACACGCCGCCGAAACTTCACGCTGCAAGTTCGGTTGTTTTTTTTTTCCCCGTGCATGCGGTCGACCCCAGCGGAAGACATTACCGCAGCTACATGCAAACACGAGTGAGATAACAAGGCATGCGTGTAAAAACAGCTGTACGGCTCAGAGTGCGCGTGTTTCTGGGGTTTCCAGTCTAATCTTTCATTTAAACATGGTGCAGAGAAAATACCGTGCAAATTTAGAAGGCACTTTTGTCCCGTCTTGCAATCATGGTTTCAAACAAGCTAGCTCACTCCTGCTGCTGACTACATGGCGAACACGGTTTTGTTTTGTTAGAACTATTTCGGTGGGTTTCTGTGATCTGAACCATCGGGCTGATGTAGCAGAAAACAGCAGCCCGGGAATGGTTATCCGAAACGTTACGGCCAGATTTAATCTCTCAGAGACTCTCTTGATAAACTGTATAGGTTTTCGAGGAAATTGTCTCCTTCGCAATCGCCACACGCCGGTACGTGGGTCGTAAGCTATGTGTTTTGCACACACAAATCATACAAATAAAACTTGGATGTGTGTTCCTAGCGCGCTGGTGTTAGTCACAGCCAATGTACAAGAATACTTGTATTTCTGGAATATAGATCATAGACCTACACACTTTTTATAAGAGGGGATGTCAGTGTGTGTCTGGGGTGTGGGGTGGGGGCTGGTTGCTTGCATCGCTCGACCAAAAGGGATTTCCTATTCAGGTAAAAGGCCTCTGTAGCTCGCGAGACGGAGCTGCGGTAATGGTTTATGAGGTCATAAAAAGTAGCTTAGCTTGTTCTGTTGCTGGGGACGGTCGTAAAAAGGGCCAATTCATTTAATTTATCTCTCCGAGTTGCAATACTTACCGCTGTGAGAGTTCATTCGCTGCATCCACGGGTAGATCTGTACGCTGCCTTTCTGCTGCTGCGCGCCGGTCCTGCCCTGGTCGGGACTGTAGTCCGGGGCGAGCGCGCTCTGAGCACTCTGTCCCATGCTGTTCTGCCGACAGCTAGGTAGCCCGTCCTTGTCTTGGTAAAACACGTTAGATCCATACTCGTACGGTCCGCGGCTTGACCCAAACACGACGTTCTCTTGCGGCGAGTAGAAGGGAGAGGAATATATCCTGTTTTGGGCAACGGCGGCGCCGTACGAGGAAAAGTGTCTGACTGGGTCATATGTAGTCGAATTTAGGGCTACGTTTGGCAAAACGTCTTGTCCACCGGTTAAATGGCAGGAGAGCGACGGGTTAGCGAAATAGGAATTCATACCTTATCTCTCCCTCTCTCTCCCTCACTCTCTCTCTCCCTCTCTCCCTCTTTCTCTCTCTCTCTCAGTCTCACACTCTCTCTCTCCTGAAGCGCGTTGAATGATTTCTATATTATTTATTTCAGGGCTCCAGTAAAAGACGCACAGCCCGGAATGTTATAGCTAAGGCTTTGCTCCAAGACGGACAAAATGACAAAGTCAGCTGACCGGTTTTCCACCAATAGCAAACAGGGAGCGCAGGGAAAGTGGAAAAAAAAATAGAAAAAAAAGAAAAAAACGTCTTCGCTAGTTTTGATCCCCTCGCTGAAAGTAGATATGCATATAAAACTCAAAAGAAAAAAACGGATTTGTGCAAGCCAGTGACTGAATATAATTGGATTGAGATTTGTCTCAACGAGGAAAAAAAGCGATTGTTATAGCATCTCAATAAATACTGGGTAAAGGACTGCACTACCAAGTAAATGAAATTAAAACAATACGGACAGGCCTGCACAAATTTGACAAGCACAAGGAGTTATCTACTAAATATGGATTGTTTGCATGCGAGTGCTTCTGTGTTAATTTACAACGACAGCTGTTCTGTAATGCAGAGTTATGCTTTAATGGGACGCGGTTGGGAGAAAATAAGATTACCGCACGCGCGGTAATCGAATTATTTTAAGCATCATAGAATATTCCTGACGATATTGCTTTTCAAAGACTCCGGGATCGATAAAAGTTTCTTTCCTTTGGTATTAAACTCTCTATATTTCATTCCCCTTAACGAAGAGTGGTTGCGTTGAGACGACACGGGAGTTTTGGGGGGTTGAGAAAAAAACGTCTCAACATCCAGAAAAAATAATCTGAATCTGCGGCCGTGCTTGTATGTCAATGTGAAATACATAACCGATATAGTAGCATTTTCTTCTCCCCCCCTAATTGAATTTACTTACATCTTTAAATATTGTCTACAACCCTTTTCTTAACAAACGGCCGCGCTGCGGTAGCATTAGTTGAATGTAAAGGGCGTGCTGTTTCATTTAAGTGATAAAGGTACGTGACGGGAAACTGATAACTTAATAAAAAATGTTTAAAAAAAGAGGGACAATCATTATTTAAAGAACCCGGTAAGGCTCTCCTCCATGGGCTCGATAAAAGTCTTTTACAGCGGTTTATACCACGCTCGGCTGGGTGCCGTTTGATTAGAGGGGAAGCATCAATTAGTGGATTTTAGTGAAATCTGATGTGATCGTATAAATTGTATTTTGCACGTTTGCAGGCTTTACACTGTGGACTTCCCGGACCAATACACTTCCAAATCCCACCTTTCAAACCCCACCGTCTTGCCTCCAGTTCAGAGCTGTAAATCCGGGTGCACCCGGGTCCCTGTCAGGAAGACCTGTGTAATGGGTTTGTAAGCTTATAGCACACAAACAAGTCAAAATACTATCCCTACAGCCATCCGCTGTTAATTCAACCGGCGGGCGCTGCACTCGCATGGGAAAACTAAACTGATAAATCATGCTCGAAGTTCTGTGATAAAATTACGCCGGAAATATTCTGACACGGATTCTCTGCGTTTTAATTATGGCAAAGAATCTCTTTGTGTTCTTGATCTACAGTTACGTTTTGGCACAGACTTTTCGTTTGACGGAATGCCTCATCGGTTCGTCTTTAAATGAAAACGGATTGCTGGCGAAGAATGCAAAACCTGCACCGCAAGACGCACTTAAGGTCTTTCTTTTGAAGTCGAAGGTGAAGGACACACGCATTCTTTAAATACGTTAGTAACTACCGCTTCCTGAAGGTAAATATTTTAGTTTACACGTTTATGCCGCTGTTGTTGTCGTTTGTGTGCGCGCGTTTCTCCGTGTGTATGGACTTCACTCAAATCGTCTGGCTGAATCAACAATATAGGTGCTTCAATATAGTAGGTGCTCCGACCACGCGTAGTGCCAGCGTGACGTTATTGCGTTAGTCCGAGTCTACAACAACACAAAATAGTGCTGACACAACCGCACCGCTCTCGCACTCCGTGAGGGTCAGCGATACACTTTTTTTCCTCCTCGACAATAAACTACTAGAGTGCCCCTTGCTAGTAGCCTAACAATCAACGCAACGCTAAAAAGAATAAGGCGGTGATTATTGGCGCGTCTGATTTTCTGATCGGAGGCATACGCGATGGGATCGATTTTGTAGGGGACAGAAAAGTGAAAAGTGGGAAAGTAAGGGGGGATGTGATTTTATCTCATCAAAGGAAAACCTTCTTGGAAAGAGTTGTGTGTGACTGGGGGGGGTCGCAGGGGCTGCAGAACCCAGATCTACGGCTTCTACCGTATGTATATACAACTAGAACTAGAATTGAAAACATCAGCATTCCTGAAGGGAGGTGGGTGGGTGGGTGGGGGACTCGGTTGTGCAGCTCTTTGTGCCGACAGAGGTGAGGGTACAACAGCGGAATGAATCAATAACTAAATATTAAATATGGAGAGGAAGAAAATCATAAGGCCGCTCGCCCTGCCCGTGAGATAGTGAGTAATGTGGACTACTACACAGTGTTGTCCATCATGCATAAATACTGCTTCTAAGATAGTGCTCTCTTCTGCTCTCCTTCTCCTGGGTCACTACAGCTGTTATGAGACCGATTAGTCAATGCATGTGTGAATGCGCAGGATTTCTGATGCATTGCAATCGACACTGAGTGTCCTATTAGTCCAACATCTGCAAGCGAGAACAGCACCCCGGTCACTGTATCGCTTTTTCGGGCTCCAATTTCGTTTACCTTTTTTCATTATTAATACGTTGCAAGTACACTTTCAAAATCTATACACCTAACGTGAGCTGCGTCATACGATTAGAAACGTAGCTTCGTATCAGTATGAGACCAAGTGAGCGCTTTCTTTTCATCTTTAGACATATTTCATATTCCCATTTCCGCAGGCGAGGCCGGATTTTCTTTATGATAAAAAGACCTCCAGCGTTAATCTAAATCAGAATGCTCTTTTTCCCTTCACGTACACACGTATCCACAAACGCGCTGCGGAGTTCAAACGCTCCCGCCTGCCGGATTTCAGCGGATATAAACGTGGAGATTGATTTCTTTTATTTTTTTTTAAGTTTTGATCTAGAATGATAAATGTTTTGAGAAGTACCTATTAGGTGCCGACTTTAATTTGTCCCATATGACGAAAGCTGCTAGGAAATGAGCCGGTCATCATTAGCGCTGTAAGAATACCGGTCACGATTTTACCTCTTTGTCTTAATTGTTTAAAGCTATTTCTTGCTGCTGTTCTGATTATTAGTCTTAATATTCTTCTTGCTATTCTTGTAATTGTGGGCCCACTGGTTCTATTAACGGTGGTATTGTATGAAACACCCCAGTGAAGAGCAGTCGTGTGAGGAGAGCAGAGAGAGGCTTATCCGCGGGCGCTGAAGGTTACACACTGGAGCTGTACAGGACCCGTATGGATCCCAAGTCGACGTGGGAGTCAGTGAAAGCAGAGCTCAAGTGTTTTATGGCGGCCCTAAAGCCGAGGCAGACAGAGAGGTCGAAGGGTTTGCAAAGGATGAAAACACAGCTGGGATCACACAGCACACAGCAGAGCACAGAGCAAAGCCCGGAGCAGAGAAACGCGGCGCTGCAAAAATTGTGCAAAAAAAAGAAGAAAGAAATAGAAAAAAAACCACACTCCCGATTCTCATTTAAACAGTCCGCCATATATATATATATTATTTTCTTTTACTCCTTGTTAAACTTTTTATTTCTTCCTAGAAGGCAGCGGTCAAACCACTAATGGAATGTACAACAAGCCGGAACAGAAGGAGCAATTACAGTTTATCTAGTATCTTGTCATTTTAGGCCTGGGTTCAATCATACGCGTTTTTGCGAGCTTTCGTATTGTTTGAAATAGATACTTCCTTCGGAGGAAGAAAGGGAGAGAGAGAGAGAAAAAAAAATGTCACGTTTAAAGACTCTTCCCTCGCGCTCACTCCTCCACTTACTCGAACTGTTGATCCGTCTCCCGAGTTTCCAGCTCCTCAGACACACACACAGAGCCTCAGTTTAGGGCTCTCGACTCACCCGTCCGCGATTCGTGTCAGAGCGTAACAGTACGTCCCTACGACTGCCCCGGCCGATACCCATCCTAATTCTAATCACGAGTACACCCCGCGTTTTGGCGTTACACAGACTTCAACGGCATTATTAATTAATCGAACACTGGGGCTGCCTATGCTGATATCAATCTGAACATTTGCAGCTCTAAATCCGATATACTTTATGATTTATATTAATATTATTGATAAGATTGTAATGAATAATAATTTCGTAAAACGATAACGCCTTGTGTGACAGTCGTTGAGAAACACACAGAAAAAGTTGAATAGTAAGTAATAAAGGCCTATGTTCATAGCGATATAGATTTTTTTTTTGCCTTTGCACACCAGCGAAATGAAATGTGCTGGATAAGAAATGTTGTTGTTTTGTTTTGTTGCGCTATTTGTCTTTTTAGCAAAGGCAATTCGTGTTGACATCTCCCCGCGCCGCGGGGTTTGCGAGAGACCCGTCCGTTGCAGCGACCCGGTGTAATCCTCCACTTCCATTCCCTCTCAGGGCCCGACCATCTTTTATAGCGCCATAAATAAAGCTGTGAAGGGGAGAAGGCCTGCTCTCCTCTCAGTGTTAGAAGTGCTAGCAGCACTGAGGAAGAAAAGCACAGTCAGTATTTTAAACACTTAACTGAAAGTGCTTATTAAACGCGGCGGTTCGGGTAAATTTTCTGCGCTCCGTCTGTTTTATCACCTTGCCCTTCACAAGGCCTGCGCGTCGGTTTTCCGAGAGACTTGAACACATTATTCGAGACAGTGTATTTCAGACGGTTTCCGAAAGCGGTAAAAAACAACAACAACAACAACAACAACAACAACAACAAAAGAGCTGATCGCCGAATGATGTGTAAAACCCTAATGCACAGAACCGGATCTGTCTAATTTTCCTGTGGCTCAGCACGTGGCTCAGTGGCACTCCGCGAGAGAGCTGCAGAGCCGAACAGAATTCAGAAACTGCATTGCGGCTTCATCGTAAGTTTTGCCATTTGCCCAAGCCGCGATGCAGAGTTCAGTATGAACCTCTGGTTATGCTTTGCTGAAGACATGACTGTGCAGGCCACATTGGTGGGTTTTACTAGCAGCAGTAACAACAGATACACGTTTCCCTTAAAAGTGTTTTTTTTTTCTTCGTTTACAGCACATTTTTTAGTTCAATAAATGCCATCAATGCCGAAACCCAACGGCTCACGCTTTCAGGTCACTTTTTACTGTCTACCAAAGTTAACGCTTATGATCTACTTTCTAGAAATGGCTGCATGTATGTAATTAATTATAATTCTGTTATAATTATAATTAAAGAACTCATCCTTATTTAGCTGGTCCCTGGAGTGCAATATAACACAAGGATAATTCGGAAAAAATCAATTGCTAAAGGCATTCATTCGAAATACCACATAAGAGAAACGCGTATATTTTTCCCTACCGGAAACATAACAATGAAAGAGATATTATTCGAAATTTGAAAACTGAAAACTAAAGAACCAAAGATCAACTATAATATTTACTTATTATTACTATTTACTTATTATATGTCCTTTTATTGTTAATAATAATATTAACACTGCTACTGATAGTAATAATAATAATAATAATAATAATAATAATAATAATAATAATAATAATAATAATAATAATAGCCCAATAGTAGGACGTTAAATGCGTGCAAATCCATGGCAGAACAGGAACAAATATAACGACTTCAAAATTATTAAGAGGGTGAATTAAACTGTAAAAGTTGGTCATTCTAACGCTATAACTGGTCAGAAGCAGAATGTACAATTCAACATTAGGTGGTGACCTCCGACAGACACAGACGGGTCTCGTCCAGAAGGCCGCGCAGAGCTCCAGGAGCTTTCCTCTGCTGTCTGGAGTGGCCACCGGACTGCTCCTATTGCCCGTGCTGGCTTTGTGCTGCTGCTGTGATGTACAACGCAACCTTCCCCAGCGCCGGGCGTCGCGACGACCCCGACAGGCTGACTCCCCGAGTCCGGGCGATCAGCTCCCACACTCCGGCAGTGACCGTCGGAGGACTGAAGGTTCGTCAAACCCCGAGCCCTTTTATTTAAAAAAAATATATATATATCACAAAAGAGATTTCGACTCCATCACAATCTATCTGTGTGGTTCTCTTTCTTGAAGAGATTTCAAGGAGCTTCAGAAGCGAGAAACCTAAAACGCCAGTAACCTCGCTTTAAGCCGCGGCTCTGCGGTTGACGTCCAGGGTTGTAAATATTTCTGTCTCTGTGGCGAAAACAGGCTCAAGGCAGGACTGCTTTTTCTCTTTCTGTTTCTCCCCTCTTCCTCTGCTGGGTCTTATTCACTGGTAGGAAACCTTAGGGTTTCAGAGAAGCGTGCCTGGGGAGTGTCACTGCGATTGAATTCTTTGTACCATCTGTACACGGAAATATGAAGAATGTTTCTTCTGTATATTTCTATTTCTATGAGGAACAAGGCGCAAATAATTCTATGGTATCTTTCTCCCTTTACTAAACAGGAATTTCCCAAATTCAAGAAAACCAAATGATTAGTATTCCAGAAATCTCTCTTAGGAATTTTCTAACTTGAGGCAGAAGAACGAATCAGTAAAAGTGTAATTATATTTTTAAGCTCACCCGTTTTAGAAACAGCAACATTATTATTATTATTATTATTATTATTATTATTATTATTATTTGTA